TATTTGAGGAGACATCTTACGTATTGTAGGGAGAGGGTTTTTTCATTTCTAGAAGTTCTATATTGTATTATTTACTTTCCAGCTGAGTCAGTTTGTAAAATTGTCTAAATATTTTCAATCTTTTATTGTGTACTACTTTTCATGGTAAAATAAAACGTAAGTTCTTGTATTCTGCTTGCCTATTTCTGGAAGGGCTGAGCCTCTTTTTATTCTGAAATGATTTCAAGATTTTTTTTGTCTAGCTATTATGCTGAAACCATGTAAATATTAAACTCATCTTTCTGTTTTCATTTCGTTAGCATGAATTAGCATTCTGTAGTTAGAAATTTAAATTCGTCAAAATTAAGGGTTTTTTTTTTTTTTTTTATGGTTAATGCTTTTTAAGTTTTAATTTACTTGTATTTATTGTTATTTAGTATTCAGTGTATTTACCTTTATTAATCCCTTTTCTCTCCTTCCTTATATTTCTAGTACCCGAAAATCAATGAACCGAATACAGTTTTTGAAAGAGAGAGAGAGGTAGAGAGTATAGAAAAAAGATCTACAACATTGCTTCTTTGACTTGCCTCAAGTGATACGAAAGATGATTGTTTATATGCATGTATATATCCGAAATAGTCTGCTGTGAATAAACTAAGAAGAAGAAGCTGCGTGAAGCAAATGAGAATGAAGCTATCGTCATGAAATGGAATAGGTTTTTAGGTTTATAATATTATTGGGCCTAACTATTTCTTAAGGAAAATTTTGTATTTGCATTATTCTGAAAAATAAAATTCATAATTTACTATGTTACATTATTAAAACCAAAAATACTAGATGATATATGAAATATGTTTACATATACTTCCTTCTAAAAATAGACCATACATTACATTCTGTAACTGACCCTTTTTGAATTCAATCTATTTCACGTTCTCCATTAGTGTCATTTCCTAAATTGAATACGCAATTCAAAAATGATGATGGCCAAAAAGGCAAAAACAATAATTGATAGTTTTTTGAATATTCACCATATGATTCCCTACTAACATCATAGGCTTCAACATCATTGTGTAAGAGGATCAAATGGCAAACATTTTTTTTAAATGGATTTGGATTGCATATACAGATACATACACTATTATGAAATAAATTGAATTTCTAGAGAATATCAAGGAAAATTATATTGAAGCAAGAACACAACTTTTCTTAAACAATTTCATAAAATCTTGGGTTGTTTCCTTGGATGGGGCTTACCAATGGCTTGAGGAAATCAAGATGAAGAGGATGGTGGTGATTGATGGGAGCTTGGAGCTGATATCCAAGTCATTTAAGAATTTCAAAGTGCTGGTGCTCGTCTTGTGAAGGTTTCACCACTGACGGACACGCATATGTTTTACTGCCAATTGTAGGTAGAAAACATAGATTCAAATTTGGTGTATAATAAATACGATTGTCAACTTCTTTAGTCAGGAAGGGATCCTATGGAAATGATGAAGAAACTTTTGTTAATTTTCGAAGTAAATCTTGAAGGAAAAGGAAAGTCTGTATTTTTTAGCTGGTGAGAATGAGGTAGAGTCAAGATTAAATTTTAAGGATACTACTATTTTTATTTTTTGTTTTCTTGGCTAATGAAAAATATACAATAAAAGGGGAGCTTGAACCTATACTATTTATATCGATTACCTGATGGAGAAAGTAAGTATATCACTCTTACATTACTGATTTTTTGTTTTTGAGCTTGATACTAGATCGCAAATAATATTTGAAAGATTTTCCCTAAACTTGGGGAACGTATTAAAAACGATGTGGTACAATTCCTACTCTTTAGGTTCAAATTACGAGCTAAATGCTAAGTTCAGATTTTTCACATACAATTTGAAAACCTGATGAAAACACAGCATTCTTGGGAGAGAAGGTATTATAGTGGTGAAATGGAGGGATATAAACGGTGAAGTGCAATAATATGAGAGAAAATGTGTAATACCAAGATTGTCCTTTACTTATTTGGGGGAAATTCTTAAAAATATCATTACTAGGGTCTACTAACTATTTTGGTGGTCAACCAGACAGAAATCGTCATTTTGGACTGAACCTGCGAATTTTTTAAATATTAAGTACCTTCGATGGCACAAGCGAAAGGTTTGGATCAAGTCTGTTAAGAAACGAAAATTTTGGTACCTCGACTGCAATTTTTCCTATATTGTAAATAATTATTAAAAAAATAGGTGTGCGACATAATTTCATCTATTTCTTATGTCTTCTGACTTTTTTGGGCCCATTTATCTTTTTGTGTAATGAAATGGTTGTTAAATTAGGAAATGAAAAAAAAAACTTAAATTACTCTTAAACTTATTAATAATTTTTCAAAAAGTTTATATTCATATAGTAATTTATACTTAAATAGTATATATTCAAATAAAATTTTATTTAAATAATTAATTTAATTTTGGGTCGAAACTAGTTTAATTTCAATTCGATCATTTGATCATTGACCCTCTAATTTTCCTGGGTCAATATTAGGTCCGATTTTCAAAATATTAGAACAAATAATGGATTGGACACTTTGTCGATGTAACTCTATATTTGGAATATTTGTATTTAGACCACAATTTCTTAACATATGTTTTCAAGGACAGAGGATTTGGGTCCTCAAAATTATTAGATTCTTGGAATTTTTTGACAAGAACTATAAAAGAATTTGCACAAACTATCTACTGTTCATACTATATCTTTGGACTTACTTGTATTGTCGATTTTATATCCCTCAAGTATACGGAACATAACAATTAATAAAGTGAATCAATAAATCAGTAATTAGTTCCATTTATTGACCGCAGTAATTAGCATAGATATCTCTACACGTTATTCTAATTTACCGAATTTTACTATATAGTTTAAATCTCAAACTCACTCCTCAATTCGTAAAAGATTCACAAAATCATCAAATTAGTGATCAACTAATTCAACGCGTTAATCTCATTACAAAATCAACACATGTATGATAAAATAACAAGAATCTTGAATAAAAGAAATAAAGGGTTCCAAATAGATTTCATTGTTCGCCCTAATTTGAAAACTACTCATAATGAAAAAGGTAAAATAAGAGGTTGACATTGAATACATCTTCTATTTTGAATAAAGATGTAGAAAATAAGATTAATCTTGCATCAAAATCTTCTTCCTCTTCCAATCAATGCTTCAAAACTTGAATTTTTTGATGTTTTATCCCTTGAATTGCGCTCTTTAATCTCTAGTTCTATTCTCTATCTTTCAATATGTGGAACTCCCATAAAAATATGCCAACAGCTTGTATTTATACTCTTTTCCTCGTTTTGTCGAAAATAGGGTTTCTTGTGAGAATGGGCCGAAAAAACGTAACCCTGACGTCTTCAGGCGTCGCCACCGTGCCACATCAAAATCTCCAACGGCGCCGCAACGCCTGGTGTGTGGCGCCGCGGTACCACACCTCTGATCCTCTTTTTGGTGGCGCCGAGGCACCACTACGTTGGGGCCGAGGCGCCACTCTTTCTTTCTTTACATCTTGGTTGGACTCTTTTGCCCCCTTTCGTTCCTCTTTTCTCCTCGATCCATGCAAATAGCTTTGTTTTATCACACTAATAAACACATTAAAAACATTCACTAGTCATAAAATCTAACTCATAATCAAGTTAAAAATGGAATAAACCTTATAAATAAAATACACTCATCAAACTTGCATGTTCCCATGTGAATACCAAAGAACAGGTTGAAGCTCATTTGCATTTGAGACGGGAAAACACAATAACGTTTGGTTGGGTTAAAAAATAAGTTAAACTTATAACCAATTTTTAAATTTCATATTTCATTAATATTGTTAGTTTTACTTGTAGTCTCTGATAAAATTAGGGTTGGATAAAACTCTCGAACCAAACTAATCGAATCGAACCCAAATCGAATCGAGCGATTATTCTTAAGTTAAATGCTCGAACGGGTATTTGATTCCAGAACCGATGGATTTGGTTCGATTTTCGGTTCTACATCAAGACCCGAAAAATCAAATCTCCCTAATTTTTTTAATTAATTTATTTTAAATAAGAAAAATTATTTCATTTTTTCTAAATAAAATTGTTAACTAATTAATTTAGTTCAAACAAAAAAAAAATATGATTTTCCTATTTCTAATTTTCAGTTCAAAGCCAATTTAATCAAATTGATCTAAGTTTTATTTAGGGATAACAATGGGCCTTTTAACCCACAAGCTCAGCTAGGGCTCTTAGCGAGCCGAGCTCGAGCTCGTGAGCTCACGAGCCACAAGTTCTGAGTCAAGCCGAGCCCACGAGCCGCTCGCAAGATCATGATTTTTTTAATTAATTTATTTATTTATTTTGTAAATTTGCACATTTTTTATGAGCCCACAAGCTCAGCTCGTGGGTCATATGGGATCAGCTCGTGGGGTTGAGCCGACAAGCCCAAGCCACCCACGAGCCAAGTTATAACAAGCCGACGAACTGCTCACCCCATTTGACATCCCTAGTTTTATTCAAATCTGTTACTTCACCGCAATGTCATTTCTATTGCTCTGAAATAATCGAATTAAAACTCGACAATAGCTCTCTTAATTATGTTGAGCTTGTTATCTTTATCTTTCTATGATTTTAACAATCAAATTTATGAATAACTCAACAAAAAAAAATGCAAAAGACACATAACATTGAACTGCGTTATTTTATAAGAGTTAAGATTGAACATATCATTAGTTGAATTAATTTAACTTTATAAATATTAAAAAATTTAATTATAATACGAAACCTGGAACTGAACCGTACCGAATGGAACCGAACTTGAACGGTTCTATAATTAAATTTGGACCCAACAATTCCACTTACTAAATTTTCAAAAATTTCGAGTCAGTTCGGTTCTCGTTAGAATCGAACTGAACCAAACCATGTCCAACTTTAGATAAAATCTTGTGCTCAATAATTAAAAATCTCTAATGTATCTGGATGCGACCAAAAACTGATCTTTGTTGACAAATCCAATGGTATTCAAATTGTTCTCATAATTGTTTCCAAACTAAACAGAACACAATTGAACTGATCAATCAAAACCCTAAGTAAAAACTGTCATGTCACATGTTAAGGAAAAGATCAGGATTATGATATTAAAGTACAAAGATTATATAAGGAGAAATCCTTCCTAGTAGTCGATGCAATACATTGATGACATCTGTTAAGTGTACTTCTTTCAGTCAATCCGATTTGACATATCAGGAACTCCGGGATGTGCCCACAAAAGGGTCAAATGTAAAAGAATCAATTTCTTGCACATTCTCCTGATAGAAACTTTTGTCATATTACCGTGTCTTTGGACCTGCAAATACATTCCGGGTATGGATTCTGATAAAAAGATTCCTCCAGCTTGAATCGTGCTCGACCCTTTATCCCTGGTGGGGCACCTTCTCTTTTTCGTGGTGCACCTTGCCTGCAAATTGCTAGGAATGAGAAAAACGGTAGTCTAATATCTATCCTTGACCAGCTAGCTACTAGATATATGTCGATGGTACTCAGGAAATTATAAAAGACATGGCCGCATCTAGTGGTCAGCTCCCTTTGTTCGGGAGGTATGCAACAATAATTAAGTGTGGTATGCAAAATTGTACTGAACAGAGCTCCATAACAATGCTTTGCAGTAGAGGATTGCACACATCTATGAGAATATTTGGTGAAGCCCGAAAAGTTTACTAATGTACAAGTCCTCGTTTGAGCTCCATTTTACTCCAAACTCATTGTCAACCACATTCTACGAATAAATTAATTTTGCACATAAACTCAAAATTTGTTCTTGCATTTTACCAACACATTCTATAAAAAATTGCTATTACAAAACTCATTTTTCACAAATAAGTAAATCGTGATGAATGACTTTTGTTTGTCGAAGTTGAAAATAACAACTTATTTGACAGTAAGACAAAGAGTTGGTATCAAAGTGTGAAATCCCTTGGCTTTATTTCTATTTTATCCTACTCGAGAAAATGATGCTCAATCTCGCTGATATTTTCACGGAAAATGGACAGATGCATGACAAAACAAATATACAGAAACAGGTCGAAAATCAAAATAAGTAGGGTATTGGCCTGTTAACATCCAAGTGGGCTCTGGTAAATTAGGAGGAAAGATTTGAATTAAAAAAAAATTAAAATTAAAATTAAATAAATAAATAAATACAATTTGAAGTATTCAACTGCTCCATTCAACATGCAATGAGACTTGCGGCAACGCATCCAAAAATAGTGAAAAGGAGTAGAAACACGTGGTCGTGCAAATACATCACCTGTTTTTGTGCAATTTCCTCACATGATAAGAAAAAGAACTTTCTCGAAGCTCTCCAGCTTCCAATCTGTCAAATAATTCTACTAGACCTTTCCTGCACATTTTGTTCGAATATTAATTAAATGAACAAAGGAGAAAATTTAAAAGCATGACAACTCAGTCTGAATAAAGAATTTACTGTTCTTATCACATGCAGCAATAAAAGAACAGAGGATTCGTTGTGCTCATCAAAAAGAAAAGAATGAACAATCTATATGAAATATGAAAAGAAAAAATTTAAGCTCTCCGAATCTCTTCACTTGTGGGAATATATTGGTTTTATACAGTTAGAAACAGAATAAGGTCACTTGGGAGTTCGAAATGATGTAATAATGAGGTTTATACCTGTCTGTGATGGAATGAAAACATCACTTTCTATGGAGATAATATAATCAAGTGCCGCAGTTTGAGATGCATGCTTAGAAAACGGATTCAATTCTTCAGCAATTGCAAGCATTTCCTGTCATCAACGAGATATTACCATGGTTAATATTACAGCTAGACTTAGCACTTAAGTTATTTCTCAATGAAAACCAATAGAAAAGCATCCAACGTGACCAACCTTGAAAACTACATTTGGATAGCAAGAAGTGAGCTCTGAAAGATGAGCATTACCACCATAAATTTCCCCAGCAGCAATATATATCAAGGTAGATGGTGGATAACCAAGAGCTTGAAGAAAAACTCCAACCTCCTTTGGAGTTAGATGGCAGAAACCACCAATTCTCTGTTCTGTGGAGTTGATATTCTTGGTCTTCCAGTGATTTGTTTTCTCCCTAACGAAACCAAATATAAGAGGCATGATGTTAACACATGCAGTTTTAAAGTAGCTGTGTTGGTAAGGGGATAACGAAAATAAGCAGTGCCTCTGAGAGAAAGAATTAAAGGATTGAGTGGCTTAGCAAATTGAAAAGAAAATGTCAGCACGGCGTGTGTACTTAAAATTTTGGTAATGTACCCTTAAATTTAATTTGATCCGTTCAGCTGAAACTTAAATATTCTCACACGGCATGTTTCGCCAGTATAAAAAGTTAATAAGTAATTAGTTGCAAAAAGTCATTCACCTCATAATTCTAAGCTCCTCTGATTCAGCATCAGTAAGACCGTAAGTACAGCCAGTAAAAGAGAGCATGTCTTTCTCGTATCTTAGATGAAGCACAATGTATCTTTCTGCACGTGATCTCAACCTCTCCACTAGCTTCTGTGGTATCACCGATATTTATGCTCAGAACCTAATGTAACATGACTCCCCATAGAAGACCTCTTAAATGAATTTACAGAAATACATCAACTGAGTCATATTTACAAATATAATTATCGTAAGATTCTTGTTAGGAATTAACAAGTACTTTAAGAACTCTCGAAAAACTTGATGTTTTTCGTGAGGAGCTCTGTATATTCAAGAGATTTCATTTCTGTATTTTGATTCACAGAAGAGCATTCTAATTTTGGATATATGATATCAACATTACATGGTGCAAGTTTGAACGGTTAACATGTAGTAGGAGCAGAAGATGGTTCTGACCTTTCCCAGCCAATTTATTGATGGGGAGAAGTGCAGAGCATCATAGAGCGCACGACATCTCAACCTTTGTATATCGACAGGTAGATCATTATTTGCAAGTCGAGAATCGGATTTTGCAACATGAATCAACTGCAAATCACCAAAAAAATCTCAATAAGCAAACTCTGTGCATAGTTGTCAAAAGTGCACTTAAGCATTTTTTAGTATTGAAGTGCAGTCCTCGAAAAAACATGCAAAAGAGCCATAAATTGAAACTTTTACAGTTCTTAGCATATAAACCACTAATTATGTATATTTGATCTATAGTGCTGATGGTCGAGTCCTTAGAGAACAAAATGCAAGAGTGTAATGGAAAGTAGGATGTTTAATATAACTGTGGGGGAAAATGATGAAAAGAAATTAGAATCCATACGAACCAGATAAGGCAGCACCAATTGATAATAAATTAAGAGGAGACCGATTATGGTGGTGAAGGCATGTATTGCAAATCCCTTAATTCATGTTCAGAAAGTGACAAAATCAATCCAATCTAAATAGAATATGATAGAAGAGAGAAAGATGCACCAAAATTAGCAGGGCCTCCTATGGTTGGAGGAAAAAAAATAAATAAATAAAAATTCATTGCATCTCCCCATAGATGTAGCTCTGGATCAAGGTATCCATTTAGCTTACGCATATCAATGCAAAATATGCTTAGTTTATTGTTGTTGATATCTGATATTGTGAAATTGGATTAATTGCTAAAATATATTTAAAAAATTAACAAAAATTACTTCAATCTTTAACGAGCAAATTAACTTATGTTTTCAGCAACTAACAAAAATTACTGAAATTTTCCAAAATGTGCTGAACACATATGCGTGATGGAGATTTTTCATAACCGTGTGTCCGTTTGCACTTTTTCATAGTCCTCTGGGTGACTTAATAAGTTGAGTGCTATGAATGAGTCTTTAGAAAATAAGGTTAAGACCCTTATGAGCGATCTTGAAGATTCCAAGCCCCAACTTTTTCCTTTCTCTAGTGGTTCAGTAAAACTTGATAGCATTTTAGATGTTTCAATTGTTATATTTCCTATATGACTTGCTTTCACACTTGGTATTTGAGGTGTTGATTTCCGAAAACATGTTTAACAAGAAATGTAAGAGATGAACATTCAATTTGAGTTTAAGTAGATTGGTATGATTTTACAATAGAGGCAGGGAAGATGACTGAGAAATTAAGCCCATTGATAAAGCTCACAACATTTGAAGCTCAGGAACGAGCTAGGGTAAGGAAGAGAGAACAATACTGACTTGAGCAGCAAAGACATAATGTGCAGGAAGAAGGATAAGCAGCTGAAGATATACACCTACCACAAGCCCCACCACAACCAGCTGAAATGGATTCGTAGCTACTTCGATAGATATTTGCCACTGCTACTGGAACTAGCAGGGATATACAAAATCTCCAGCAGAGGTTCGAGACGATGACCACCACTGTTGAAAAAGTGCAGAGAGACCTCTACTCCTCTCGAGACTACACAAAAGGTGCTATGAATGAAGTCACGGCTGCAAGAAGGGAAGTAGAGACTATGAATGGTAGGTTCAACATGTACGCTGGGAGAATGGATGGCATACAGTGGCGTGTGAACGAAACTTGGGATCGTTTGGGAAGTATGGAAAGTAGTCTTCAAGCCATTCAGGCCGAGCAAGCACAGCAGTCCGAGTTGCTAAGACAACTCCTATCTCGCCTCCCATCTCCTCCTGAAGATGATGCTGCGGGTCCCAACTTTACACCATAGCCACTGAATTGATCAGGGGAGTTTTGTTAATCTCTTATTGCCAAGTTGTGTCCATGTTTTAAATTTTACCATTTTAACTTTACATTTTACGTTGAGGACAATGTATTGTATAAGTTTGGAGGATGGTATCATAATTTCAAACAAATATTCGGCATGTAATTATTTTGCGTATTCACAATCCATTATTAATTTTGACAAGTTTTTGCATGATGCATGCTTGATAAGTGAGTCTTGATGAACTTTTGCATGCTTGTGGGTTTGGTAGCCTTGCCGGCTATGATGTGATTATTGGACATGTATAAACTAGAAACTGTGGATTTAGTGCAGGATTTAATTTGCTAATACTTGTTGATGCATTGCTCGACATTCTTTTGCACGCCACTCATGCTTCACGTGTTAAGTTATTGATTGGAATTTTAGAATAAATTAGGAGAAACCTAGAATAACCCTCTATAACATTAACCCGTAATACCACTTTAAGATAGTTTGGAGATGGTTGAGCCATTGTAGGGAAACATGGAGATAAGTGGGGGGTCTGTGCATGAAATTATACTGTGTGGATTGTTTAAACCTGGAAGGTGAGAAACAGGTGAAAGCTTTAAGTGAAGATGGTTTTGGAAGTCAAATGTCTAGAAAAACAAAGAAGGGGCATAAAGTAAAAATTGGAAAATCATCACTTCTCTCAAAAGCCTTAAAGACTCGAGCAAGTAAGTCTGTAAGGGCTTAAAACCTGATGCCCTAATGCCAACTGGTTTAGGAGTCATCGGTCTAAAGCTCGTTACATGGGTCATATAGAAAGCAAGAAAAGGGAGAAATTGATAAAAAGTCATCTTATCGATCCTTTATAACTCGAGTGAATAAGACTGCAATGGTTTAAAACCTGGTGCCTTAAATCCAACTGGTTTGGGAGTCATCGCCTAAAGCTCATTACATGGGTTATATAGAAAGCAAGAGAGAAGATGACCAAAAAAAAAATCATTGTTGGACATTTGGTTGATAGAACTATAACCTTGATGCGAGGCAAGTAGCTAAGTTTAATCCTAAAGGTTGAAGCAATCAAAATAAGTAGAGTCTCTACTTGTTGATATGTGAACTTGTAATGGTAAAATCTATCCAAACTAAGAGAGGGTAAGGATTAAAATTGTTTAAACTCCTAACCTTAGAATACACCTCGGAGTAATTGTGTGAAAAGAATACATTTGGGGGTTGTGTATCTCTCGAGTGATGTAAGGATAAATTTGACCACTATGGGTCGGGAATAAACTAATCACAAGCTTGATATGTTGGCATGAGTTCACACACACACATTGAATATTGCATTTGATGAGTAAAGGTTGATTCAATTCTCGTACTTTTGATATTGTTTCTATTATTATTACTAAGTTCCAATCCTGAGACACGGCAAGCTATTAAGCCAGGTTTGTTTAGCATTAAGTCATTACATTGTTTGATAACAAACAATAGTTTAAGTTTGGGAGATTTGATAAGTGTGTTTTTACACACTTATTTAGCTCACAAACATGACTTAAACATGGACAAAATAGTTGAATTGAAACTTAATCTCGTTAAATTCATGCAATGTAGGTGTTTCTATGGAAAAGATGGAATTCAGAAGAAAAGTGCCGAAAAAGGACCAAAACGGAACAAAGCGATAGTTCGGGGACCAAAGGTGCAAATATTGGAAATTTGAGCTAAGGTGCAGGACGAGAATGAAAATATATCAAGTATGAGATTGAGGACGATACAAGATGATCAGAGGAAGAAAGAAGTAATGTTGGACTGAATTGAAGAAAATTGAAAGATGAAGGACTAAATTGCAAATAATCAAAAGATGAGCTGAGCAAGTGATAAAGGAATTGATTGACCCAAACGTCAATTAGGAGTCAATATTTGATGATGGAACAAAGGAAAGAAAGAAAAGAGATCAAGAGAAGAGAAAACGAAGTTCAGGGACCAAAACAGCAAGGTTGAAAGTTACAACGATGCAGCCGCACAGAACTGTGCCATGCGGCCGCACATAAGGTTGTAGAGATTTCATTTAGTCAGTCCACTTGAACCATGCGGTCGCATGGTTTAACACCATGTGGCCGCATGGCTATAAAAATTAAAAAAAATTCTGAACTTGCGTTTTTAATTGAACCTCTTTCGGGGCTCCGTGAGGACATGATATAAAAGCCAAAATTCATCAGAAATAGGGCAGAACGTCTAGGGAGAAGAAATTACAATTTTTGGAGGCAAGAAACACGATCTTGAAGCCGATTCCACAAGAATTTAAGTGGTTTTCAAGGCTTCATTCAAGATTTCAAGAAATTTTCATACGGGTGCTATTCTTTCAATTTATTAATTTCATTTTTTTATTCTGTAATTATGAATATTCTAGGCTAGGTTTTCAATTCACTAGGTGATCGATGAACTATCGTTTGTTATTTTAATTCCATATTTCATGAATTTAATATAAAGACTCGTTTGGATAATTTGATTGGTTTATATGCATTGATTTTCTTCCGCAATTAGTGGCCAATGATTGTGTGAGTGTTGATGACTTATTTCTTACACTCGAGAGAAGTGGAATAAGTTCGATAAGGTGTAAATCAACATATGGTCCGATAGGGGATAGAGATATACACATATACTTTATGCAATTCTCTAATTGTTCACAAAACCACATGCATTCTTGTATATTTGCATCATCCATCGAGATATAGGCTGATGGTGTTCAAGAATAGGTCTAATATATACCAAGCGAATATGTTGGATAGATTTAGGAACATTGAATTGGTAAATTTCCATCGGGTCATTGATTTTATTAAATTAGGGTTTTTATAGCTTCAATTGGGGATTCGTGATCCTAGTGACTTTATTTTGATTCATTTCCATAAATTAGCTTTTGAATTTGTATAATTTCATTTTACTTGAGTGTTTGAGTCGTTTAATTAGAGAAATTTCGAGATTAGGGTTTTTAATTGAAATTAGGGCTTTTTGCATTTGGACCATATTTTCACTCAATTAGATTCTTTTAAGGTTAAATTATATAGAATTGAACTACTCAATCTCTGTGGGACGATATTCGGACTTTTAAAAATCCACTTTATTACTTGTTACGATCCGTACACTTGCGATAGTTTTAAATCGAAAGAAGTATTTCGTGAACAATACACACATGAATCTAGGAAAAATAATTCCAAGGTTACATTTTGTCTTGATTGCGAATGATTTAACATGCCAAAGGAATTATAATAACCATTTCATATAATCGATCAGAAATTTACTAAAAATTAATGCTTTTAATTTATTGTTGTCGTCGTTTTAGACAAAAAAATACTTGTTAACCTTGATCAAGTCCACCTTGTGCCAAGAAAGAGTATCTACATATTGTGTATGGAATGATATACGATCTTATGTTAAAGTTCTCATACCAAAAAAATTGACTAAAGTTTGATTTCAAAATGTCCAAATAATTAAAATTTACAAACTAAAAATGTGATTAAAGTCTCCATATTCGACCACATACTTTTCAAATACATTTATTGTTAAAATGATCATTCATAGACGGCATTTCATATTTATTTTCTCAAACTTTTTGAACTAATAATTCTCTGTGGACCGTATCTAGAACTCACACCAAATATACTCTAGTTCCCTTCAAGATTAGACAAGAAATAAATTTAAAATAATTACTATCTAATACAACTTGATTTGGAACCCTACAAGTCAATAATTCTATCCTTTTTTTTCTCCTCTCTTTAGTTTTTGTTTTTTAATTCTTGGTGCAAGGTACCTTCCATGTAACTTCAAGTCACGGATCACATTTCAATTCCACAAAAGTTAGTGTATATAGAAAACTTGAATTTTAGTTTTCGAAAGTCTTCGTGTTTGAGCTTTCAATCTTGGTGCAAGGTATCTACCATGTAACTTCAAGTCATGGATCATATTTCAATTCCACAAAAGTTAGTGTATATAGAGAACTTGAATTTTCATTTTCAAAATATGGATCATATTTCAATTTCACAAAATTCAGTGTCTATAGAGAACTTGAATTTTCGTGTTTGAGCTTTCAATCTTGGTGCAAGGTATCTCCCATGTAACTTCAAGTCATGGATCATATTTTAATTCCAGTGTACATAGAGAACTTGAATTTTCGTTTTCAAAAGTCTTCGTGTTTGAGCTTTCAATCTTGGTACAAGGTATCTTCCATGTGACTTCAAGTCATGGATCATATTTCAATTCCACAAAAGTCAATGCATCTAGAGAACTAGAATTTTAGT